TTTGTTTTGTCACAGCAGGAAGTGGACAGTGCAAAAGTTACGAAGCAAAAATTAGAATACAATAAAAATAAATACAGTACACAGTAGAATAAAATAGAATAAAATATACAATAAGATAAAAATAGAATACAAATGCTATATACAACTGAGTAAAAAGATTATTGCACATTAGTGTTATCAGTTAAAGTCTGATCCCTGACTGTTCTTCCTTAGGTCTTCCATATATGTGAAGAATAGTATAAAGCCATATACAAACAGGCCATTCATTCCTTGCATGCGTCAGTAAAATATCAAGCTGTAGTTTACATAAATGTGTAATATTTCCAGACTGAGGTGAGTGGTGAACCTCGAAGTTCTCAGCTGGTTTGGTTTTACTTTCTCTCACCCTTTACATATAATCACTTCCACTTTCTTCCTTCTGGAGAAATACAGATCAGCACAGATTAAAAAGATGAACAAATCACAACGTTGCCATTCTACATTCTCTGTAATTTATTTAATTCTTCAGTATTTTGTATTATGATTCTTTATTGTCTCCGTTTTTACTGGAAATACTGGCGAGGATGGATGACTCACTCAATCTGTTGACGGGTAGAAATAAAGTAACTTGGACTTCAACCTTAATTCCAAAAACATGTTTCTAGTCACAGTGACCTTAATTATTGACCACCAAAGTCCAATCACTATCATTTTTCAGTGAGTATTTAGTGAAAGTTTGAAAAACAAATCTGTAAAGCCCGACCCGACACATTGTTATTGTGATCACTTGCAATTTCCCACATGCAGTTGCCTTTGATTCGACGCCCGATTCGCCAACTTTGCAGCTGGTCTCCAGCACATACGCCTTCCTCTCCGGTCGCCAGCTTCACTATAAAACGAAGACTCTTCGTTAGGAAGATCATCACCACCTGACCGGACCTGACCGGACCTGCCTCACTGCCACCGCCCCCTTGAGCTTACTGCACCACCCCTCCTCTCTATTAGCAACTGAGCCAGGGACCACACCTCTGCCACAAAATCAAAGTTTAGATTCACAAGAAAATTGGGCCACCTGAAACGTGATTTTTGTAGCCAACTTTATGGTGTCTGAGCACTTTGAGACTTAGATCCACAATTTCTTTATGTTTGGTCTACAACTTTTGTCTGCAATCCTTCAGCAGTTATTTGATCGTTTATAATAAAATCTTTGGCACTGAGGTTTATAGACAGACATAGAGGATTTATTACTTTATAATTTAGTACAAATTAGTCTCATAAAAAAAATACAGAATTGCACTCAAAAAATAATAACAGCAACTTCAACTTCATTGTAGTTACTTGAACATGCACACTGACAATCCTCCGCTAAGCTTCAACATATTAACATTGTGTATTTAAACATGTTAATATGCCATTTTTAGCTCAAAGCACCACTGTCCCTGGCGGGGAAAATAACTGATCTTTGAAGATCACAGTTTCTGTCAAACAAAAGGCTGTAATTCAAAACTGGTTCAGTGGTTAAAAGAAGCCAAAAAAAATTGTTTTTGTTTGCAAACAGCGAACACAGACCTCCCATGATTAAAGAAGACACTCCAATCTTCTGTACTGAGGCTGCTCTGCTCGTATTCACATTTTTTTGGTGTATAAATGTACTTGATATATCATGAAAAATGGAATTGTAATCTATAGTTATTCCATTTAAAGTGAATAATCTCATCACATATAACACATGTTCATGACCTTCACTGCTCATCAATAACAATAAAGTTTGAATGAGTGAAACATTATAGATTTCTTGTTATGGTGTGCCGTGTAGGTCATATTTAAAGCCTGATAATCGGTGTTCACTTAGTGGATAAATGAAGTGAGAGTGAAGCGGCTCCTTAGAGAACAACCAGAGGAAGCAGATTTTGCAGCAGAGATGGAAATGAGTCGGAGACATTCATTTATTCATCGATTTCCTCGGCAAACAGCTGGGAATGCTCCCTGGGATCCCGAACCAAGAACTTCCTTATCTACTGGCAACACACTAGAGCAAGATTAGGAAAAATAAATGCATGAAGGTTACCGCTGTCTTGAAATTATTTGTTAGGACATTAAACCAGATGTTGCTGTGGGATCTCAGCTGGTACTCTATTATAGCCCAGGAGTTCTTTCATGTTTAAATGATCTGTTGCTACAGATTTTCCTTCACACATTAACAGAAACCCCTGTGAATACACTGTACTCCTTAAAGAATGTAGAGTTTATTCTGGGTCTTTTGACTGTACCTGGATTATTTTAGTGCAGGGGTATAGCATCATCATGTTTTTATATTCATGTAAATTTAATGAACTGGCAGCCTGAGGAAGTTATTTTGTCCTATAATGCTCTCCTCTGTGGCAAATTTAAAATGTATGGGTCGGCTGGGGGCAATTCTAAAAATTGTCATATTTTTGTAAGACTACAAATTTCAATTTAATTTCAGTAAACAAGCTAGAGTCTGAAACCTGACTCTGCACATGCTCAGTGAGATCCTGTCCGGACCTTGATAAAGGTAAGGACACGAGTTTGAAGAAAAATACTGATTTTGAGGAATAAAACTATACACATTTTTCTTCAGACTTAATCTTTAACCTATATATTCAAAATGACAACAAACAACTCGTGCCACAAATTTTCAACATGACCCCAAAATCAGGTGCATCTGGTTCACAGGTGCACATCGGTTATTGTAGCATGTGAAGTAGAAAAGAAAAGTGACCAGTTTTCTTGTCATCGGTTAGCAGGACTACACAAACTAATGAGAACTAAAGACTTTTGATGAAGATCCATCAGGTGACCGTCTGAAACTTTCACCAAAATCCGATCATTCCAGCAGGAGGAGTGAAACTGTGGGTAGATGCACGATCGACACTTCACCACAGCATAAGATCATCGGTGGCCGATTGAGCTAAAAATATTACAGTTGCCTTGGTCTTCCAACCTTGATTTTTTCCCACAGTACAGAAATGAATATTTATGCCTGTGGACCACTGAGATTTTTTAATATATACAGTATATACTGCATAAATATACAGCACAAAGTGTCTGTGATATTGATGGCAGCAGTGAGAGGATTTATGTGAGAAATTACTAAATATATAAAATCCTGGAGGCACATTCTATCTCTTCTCTGTCTTCTCTTTTTACTACTGTTTAACATAACTACAAAACATGGAAACAAGACATTTCACTTGGATTTCGAGGAAATAAAAACCCAGTCGTATACTGTGCAACATATAAGACAGCTGAAACAATTCCACTTGCTAACTCAGCTCATGTTAATGATAACTGTGTAAACGCCTTCAAGTGAGACAGATGCAATGGATAGTGCATTTACACAAAGAACAAACTTGTGTTGCTGCGCTTCTCTGCATAAATCCTGAATCCTTGTAAATAATGACAACGCTGGCCGATACTTGCTTGTGGGTTGCTTGTGCACGCTGGTATTACGTAGGTGCTAGCAAGTGTAAGTGCCAGCAAGTAGATAAAGATACCAGGAAGTCAGACACAGGAATGGATAGAGAACTTGGTCGATTATCAGAGTAAAGTGCTCAGCGCACACTAAATGCTTCACTTCCTGTGTAATTTGAACCCATGTGAAGGCTGTAACAAACCTGCACTGGAGACACACCCGGCGTCTTACTGGGTAAGGCATGATTTACAGCACTGTGTTGAATCTGTAAAGTATAGGGCGATGTAGATGTTTGCATTAATAATACTTGTGTAGTGTTGGGGCCGTGTTGCTCTGCAATCACAAGGCAAACTGAGCTGTTCATACTGGATTTGGAACTAATAAATCTTAAACACAAACAGCACACAATATATAAAAAAAACACAGCTACTGCTTCAGTAGCTAGGAAAGATGGAAGCCTTCAGGAAGTCTAAATCTATTTACATACTGTCACAGCTTTGAAAAGGAGAAAAACTGCTTATGTCTACTCTGGAAGAATACTGGCTACTGCATTAGCATAATGAGCAAGCGAGAGACAATTACAGCCTATTACATGTTGTTTCACTGAGGTATCATCCTTGTGCTAATCAATATGCTATGTTTACAAGACATATTACTCCCAAACAGACCTGCATTGTCACTGAAGTCTGGTTATTGTAGTGTGTAGTTATATTTCTGAGAAGGTGCAGGTCTGTATATGCTGTAGTCTGGATCAGAGACTTAATGTAGTATTATAAATCAAGTCAACAGTCTACAGGCTGTTATGTAATATAGCTTTTATTTCTAATTGCTTCACATCCTAACATGCAGTGCCTTTAATCAATCAGCAGTAAGTATAATCTGCTTTACGGGTAATATAAAATGGTCTCAGGTTACTTTTAATATTAGTTTTAAGAGTTTAAAATGTTCACAAATCTTTGAAATCTTGTCTCTGTCATCTTTGCGTCTCCTAGTTAATGAAAGACCAAGAAATGTCAGTTCCATTACAGCAGGGTGGCTTTTGAACATCAAATGCCAGCAAAGGGCAACAATGAAAGATTAGCTCTTACAGTCTTTAATACACGACCTGAAGTGTCACTGCAACGCCCGCTCATTTCTTTACTACCAAGCAGAGTAGAAAGTCAAATTCAGATTTAATGAGTCACGCTCTATTATAATTCATGCTAAAATAATTTAGCATTTAATATAGAGCGTGCAGCGTGTTGACAGAGTACTCCTACAGATTGCTCAGATACAAATTACAGAAGTCGATTTTTTTCCCTAAGATCAGACTGGCACCTTCTTGTTTACTGTAAGCCTCACATACTAACACGCTGTGTTTTTCAAGCATTTTTTTCCCAGTTAAAAACATTCAGGTCTAAATTAAAAGCATGTACCACCCTCCCACTAATAGTTAATCCATAATCCTATTTTTTCCCCAAACCATGCCAAAGGCACAAACACAATTCGCATCAGTTTTTTGCATATTTGACACACTTACATGTTTCAGATCATCAAATATATTTTAATACTAGTTAGGTAGGAAGCAGCAGAATCTGTTCCTCACCTTCTCTTTTGTTGAGTTTGGCGAAACCCGGGGCGTGGCTGCTGGACAGCTGGGAAGAGCTTCGGAAGGAAGATGGCGGCAGATTGGAGACCAGTGCGCTGTCACACGCCTCTGTCGAGAAATATCAAAACATAAAGTATAATGAATGTCCTTCAGATTTTGACATTTACATGTAAATGTCAGCATGTGCACTGCTGTGCTTTTTGAGGGTCTATAATTACATTTGTTTCAACATCTCCGCACAAATATAACCTCAAAATATTCCTAGAGTGAACAAAACAAAATTAAAAGTCTGAGAGAAGTAAGCATAGTTGAACACAGCTATGACGCATCCTGAGTAATAGCACTCTTAGCTCAAGAAATCTGTTCCTGGGCTTCAGTGCCAGTTTTAGCCCTAATAAGCAGAGAGGAGCAGTGGATGTGTTATCTTTGAATTGCAGGGTTAATGTCAGCTACAGTTCCTCGCTGCACAGTTAAGTAGTTCACAACAGTAGGTTGATGCGGGAATGTCTTTTTTATGCTTTAAAATCAAGAAAAAAAAAAGAAGGAAGCATTCAAACTTTTTATCTGAGTGAAAAAAAAGCTGAGTGGTTCAAAGAGTAGAGATCAACAGCAAAAAAGCACAATGAGAATATCACAATACCCGACACAGCTGGAAATGGATTAGTCTCCATCTCTTAGCCTGAGTGGAAACCTGATGAAATGTTATAAACAGCGGGGTGGGAGTGCTCTGATGCTGAGAGGTAAAAGCGTTGTCTCTGCAAATGATCAGCTTTTTTAAGATAAAAGAAGTTTATTCGGACACCTTTTGATTCGTTTCATTCTAAAGTCTTAAAGAGGCGCTAATGACAACTAAAGTGTTGAGCCTGTGAATATAACAACATGCGTGTCAGAGAGGAGTCTAATCATTCAGGAGCTGGTTTAATGTTCCCCAGGTAGAAACAGGTCTTTCAGCAGTAATGGCTCCATATTAGATGAATGAACAGCGTAATAATGTCCAGTCGGATGAGTAAATGGTGTAATTCTGGCTCAATGGATAAATGAACGTTGCAATCATGTCGTGTTGCGGAGATGAATGGCGTCCTGAGTGAGTCATTATAGGCTGGATGCTGATGGGGATGATTCAGTGTTGTCAGAGGAAACCTTTACATCTTTCTCATATTTAGTTTATGGATGATTCCCTGAATTCAAAACATAATATATTGAACATTATGCAGTAATTAACATTAATTACTCTTATATTAATTGGAGCCTCTCTCACAGTCGCCAATAAACCTACAAAAAAAGAAAACAAGCACTTTTTTGTTCAAATTAAAGCAGATTTCTCTTTCCTTTATTATAGCTACATGACATAGAGAAATAATTTGTAAAGACAGAATACAAATGAAAGTTTGTTTTACTGTATCTGATTGTCTTTGGTCTGCACAGCATAATCACATCCCACAGATATACACACGGATTCATGATCACCAGCCCCATAAATATTCATAGTTTTCCTCTCAAGCTGCAAACTGTAAGCTAAAGCCAAACTATCACCGCCTCCATCCAAAGCCTCTCCGTTAATGGATGTTGTTCTCCACCACTGAGACAAGAGCCAATTACTATGATTCACGCGGCAGTCCGATCTGGGCCCAGAACTCTGACAGCAAGGCTTTAGTTTCGATTACTCTGTCAACATCAGTGCACTTCATCTCAACAACACAAGGTCTTCATCCGCCTCCCGATAATTTCATAGAGGAATACCATTCCATTTACAGCAGCTCTTTTCAAATGAAATGTGTAGCTAGAGCCAACAACAATATTGGCCTATTTACCTGTAGTTAAAAGAGCAGGATTTGACATTTTAAAGACGATGCTTCACAAACTGAACCCTGAAATCCTGGAATATTTATTTAGTAACTGAGGATGCCAAGTATTTGGATACACAATTAAATACACCGTAGAGCCCAAATGTGGCATTCAGTCTCAAGATAATGGTCTAAATGTAATTTTTTCTCATTTAAATGCTTCAAAATACTGGATTTTGATATTATTAAATCTATATCTTCGGCAGGTGTTTTAACCAAACTGCAACACACGATAGAGGATTCACAAACACAAATGCAATGAGCAACAGCTGTACTTCCAAACACACCACAAGCCAGTTGAGGATTTACAGTTTTACACTTCTGTTAAAGAGAATACAGAAACAGTCAACAGTCTTCTCCAATACGGTCTCACATAGGAACCCTGAGGGTTAGCTGTGACTCAGGGGGTAGTCGGGGTTACCCACTAATAAGAAGGTCAATGCTTCAATCTAAAGCTACAGTACTTCATGTCAAAGTGATCCTGGACAAGATACTAAGTGCCAAAAGCAACAGTTGACATATCCATCACAGTTTGTGATGTGTGCTTAGAGTGGTGAGTATACTACAACATATATACCCAGAATATTCGATCAAAAGGCTTCTTCACCATTACTTATGCATTAGCTGTCTCCTGCAGCACATCCAGTACCTGCATGTAGCATTTTCTGTCTGCCAATTTTATGTGCTGATACTATTTTAATCCTCCTTAGGATAGGAAGGAGTATTTGCCTGTAACATAAAAAGCACTGCAATGTACAGTGAAAAGCAATACAGTGAACAGCTACTGCTAAAAATTCCATCGAAATCTATCATAAAAATTTTTGTTTGATTTAATAAAAATATAAAGACTATCATCAGCCTTAATTCCAAGCTGCTTTCAGCTAGAAAGATCTGTACACTTTGCTATGCTATCCACCCAGCAACAGTTTGTAGATAAAGTTAAAGAGCAGCTAAACATAATGAGTCATTTCACAGATTAAAAGTCTGATATTTCCTAAAGGAACTGATACAAAATGAAACCAAAAAAAAA